GACCAAGATTTGAAGTCTTACATCTGAGCAGCACTTTCTGGTTAGGAACAAAATCATCAATGAGAAATGATTGTCTAAATAACTTTTTATATAGACTTACGCCTAATGTCTGGGAAGTGTAACCCCTTGAAGCCTTAAAGAAGTATACTGATGACTTTACTCTTTGGTTATACTTTCCTTTTGGGTGTTTAAGATCATACAGTTGACTCAAATAAATCAATTTATTTTTACACTTAAGGTCATTTGAGGATCTGTTACTCAGGCGACAGAGGGGCTTGGGAGGAGCTCCTGGCTCCTTTCTTTTACCAGTTCCATCTGTGTGAAGATAAGTCAAAGGTCCTTCTTGACCATGTCTGGCTTCATTTGGAAGCATGAATGAGATGTTTCCTCTGAGCTGACCCTCCTCTTTGTAGACTGGACACTGGTTCAAGTCCATCTCGTGGGGGTCTCCATGTCCTCCCTGAACAAGAGGACAGGTGACTCACCACATTTGCAGGACATTTTGAGAGATGTTCCATAGTCCCCTGGAACTTGGTTGACCTTGGAGGGCAAGGGGCGAAAATTGTCCTTTAAATCCCTCTGACCTTATTAGTATAGGCCTCAAACTATGGCTGTTAAACATCCAATAAGGTTACCACCAGTCTGGTACTTTTAATTATCATGTGATATGTAGATAAGGCTTAGGTAAAGAATCAAATATTCTCAGATAAACATTGACTAGATATATATTTTGTTCGTTAAACTAGTTGACTAAACTATGACCATAGAAAATTTAAGATAGTGTATATAGTATTTTTGTCTCATCCTTTATATATAAAACAAACCTAAACAGACCTTCATCACTTGCTTAGGCTTTCTCATTTTTTCTATCTATTTTGGAAAAAAAACTCCATTTCCATATCCTTTTAATATCTTTTACATTTCATTTTCTATTTTTAAAAAAATAATTATGAGACATAATAGCATTAGAAAAATAAGTTTTCCATAAGTTGTGAAACTTGTTTCCTGGGGATGCTAAGCAATGCTTATTCCCTTTTAAGGTTCTAGTGTCAAGCCAATGTTCCATTAAAAGTTTTACTGGGGAACCAATGAATTTATTGAGCTTACTTACTGAGATAACTGAGGGGTTGCTGAGGTGTATGTATGACCTGAGGGTATGCACACTGGAAAGCCTTTACCCAGCATGGGTCATGTCTTCTCTTCCTAGCATTCCACAGATTATATACTTTAGCCCTCCCCAAATCCAGGAGGCCATGTGTGATTAGGGTCAAATTATATACGGTTGGCTGGGAAGAGTGGCTGGATACTCCAGTAAGAATCCAGTGACACTGCTTGGCCCCCCTTTAATGAATGAGCACAACCATCAACAATCCCAGTTGTGACGATGTTTAGTGATCAGGCTCAGCTGAAGTCATGATGATGGTGGTTATTTCATGCAGAAGGGACTGCTGTATAGCATCATCTTATTAAAAGAACATGAAATTTAAAGGATTTCATGCTAGGATCCACATATGAGGGAGAACATACGTCGTTTGTTTTTCTGAGTCTGTGTTACTTCACTTAGTATAACAGTTTCTAGATCCATCCATTTACCTGCAAATTTCATTATTTCATCTTTCTTCACTGCTGAATAGAACTCCACTGTGTAAATATATCACATTTTTGTTAACCACCGTTTAGTTGAGGGACACTTAAGTTGCTTCCGTCTCTTAGCTATTGTGAAAAGAGCAGCAACAAACATGGTTGTACAAGTGTGTCTACAGTAGGATGAGTCCTTTTGGTATATGCCAAGGAGTGGTATAACCAGGTCATATGGTAGGTTCATTTTTAGTTTTTTAAGAGTTCTCCAGAGTTTTCCATAGAGGCTGCACAAGTTTGCAATCCCACCAGCAGTGAATGAGTGTTCCCCTTTCTCCACATCCTCGCCAGCATTTGATATCATTTGTTCTCTTGATCCTAGCTAGTCTGATTGGAGTAAGATGATACCTTAGGGTGTTTTTAATTTGCATTTCCCTAATTACTAATGATGTTGAACACTTTTTGAGATGTTTCTTAGCCATCTTTATTTCTTCCTTTGAGAACTCTCTGTTTAGATCTTTAGCCCATCTTTTAATTGGATCATTTGGTCTCTCGATTCTTTTTTTTTTTTTCGATTTTTTTTTTTTTTTT